GACAACAACGAGGTCGTATCCAAACGGGAGCAAAAGGCCATCGAAGCTGCCGAGAGCGACGACTACGAGATCGACGTGGCGGCAGACACCCCCAGGGAGGACGCTCAAGCCAACACAGCATCAATTCGGGTCAAGGTCGATCTCAAGAGTATCAGACTCATCCTGAACAATGACGGCATTCGGCTGGCGACACTCTCGTTCAACCACGCTGACGTCGGGGTTTTCTTGCGGGGCAAGACTATGCGCGTGTCTGCTAAACTGGGCGACCTGAACCTCGTTGACGATGTCAATCAGGGAGTGCCCGACGACTCGCCCCTCCGCCGGCTCATTGCCATCGAGGGCGACGATTTGGCTGATTTCAGATACGAGACGTTTGACGCCGAAAACATCAAGACCTACCCTGGATATGACTCCTCCATTTTCTTGCGGGCTGGTTCTTTCAAACTCAACTTCCTTGAGGAACCGTTCCGCAAGATTATCGATTTTGTCGTCAAATTTGGCAAGATGCAGGCCATTTTCAATGCGGCCCGCCAAGCTGCCGCCAACCAGGCAAATCAGATCCAGCAAAGCACGAGCAGGTTCAAATACGATGTGGTTGTCAAAACGCCCATTGTAGTTTTCCCACGAGTGGTGCAGCTTGGCCAGCCAAAACGCGACCTTTTGACAGCCTACCTCGGCGAGATTTATGCGCAGAATAAGTTTGCACCACTTGACGACTCGGAGGACGCACAGATTGCTACGAAGATCTCAGCCGGCATTCGCAATATTCGTCTGACTTCTGATTTCAATTACGAAGCTGACAATTCCGAGGAGCTGGAGCTCATCGACCACGTGGATCTCGGATTCAATGTCACGTACGCCGAGCACCAGCACGGCAAAAAACGACCTGAATTGGAGATTCAAGGCACCATGTCTGACTTCAACCTCAAGCTGACGCAATATCAGCTCAGATTTCTCATGGAGATCTCTAAGTCTGTACCAGCAGCCTTTGCGAGTGACTCGGATGCGCAGGTCGAGTCGGCCGAACAGGATGTTGACGAAGACACCCTGAAGCGCGCCAAGTCAATGCCAGTTGAAAAAGCGTCCGGCGATGATGATCAGCTTGTCGATCTGAGCCCGGAGCTCAGGTCGCGTGACAAGACGTGGACCACGCTGGACCTCGTGTTTCAGGTGCAAACTATTGGCATGGAACTCATCATGGCGCCCGAGGATAAGCCTGTTGGCAATATTGAGACGGCCAGTCTCTCAAGGTTTTCGCTGGACGACACGAGAGTCAAGACGCGGATGCTCAACGATGGGTCTCTTGAGGGCGAGTTCGTCATCCGTTCATTCACAATTCATGACAGTCGGTCCCGCGACGCCAATAAGTACCGTCGTATCATGACATCGCTCAACAAAGATGTCCAGCAGCTCATGGCGAGTGTTACCATGACTGGTGGAAAGGACAAGAGTTTGATTGCCATGGTAACGGTGGATAGCCCTCGCATCATCTTTGCGCTCGACTACCTCTTTGCCATCCAGAACTTTGTGACAATTGGATTGACGGCCGAGGATCCCCTCGCGATAGACGATGAATCGTTGCTCGACGTACAGTCTGCCGAAGAGTCGGATGCGGATCTTGACGCTGTATCCTCACGAGCAGTCTCGACTAAGCATACAACAGCCAGCCAGCAGGTCGACACCA